GAGATAAACAGAAATTGATGAATCTGTTCACAATGTTTCCATTGATATGTTTTTAACAAACTTCTAAATCTAATTAGAAAATACAACAGTAATTTATAGTATAGTGTTTTTCAACCATACTAGAGTAAAGTGTATTATACTGTATATTTTATAGCATTTACAAGACTTTGTTTATGAATGTTACAACATTGTGAACACTCGAAAAATGATGTTGCTGTTGAAACTACTTATTTAAAATGAGCAGAAACAACACAATTCTTGAGCTTTTTTGGGGGACAACTTAATTGTTTTAAGTTCAATCCACTTATCTTGAAAAATAAACTTAAATACAAATCGATTGTGTGGAACTATACATTTTTACAGTGTAGTCTTAACTATAGTTAACTGATAAACTAATAAAAAATGTAGTATACTTTTGTTAGATTTTACTACAGTAAATGCGGTGTATTGTAGTGTAAAAGTTGTAGAAAACGTTCAAGTACATTATCTTGTTTTTAGTTTATATTACTGTAGTTGCATTACCACAGCAACTTTAGAATAACCACAACAGGTTATTTCTGTATATTATATGTTAATATATAGTATACTATAAGTATTTCACTATGGTGAAGTGCAAAAACACTATAGTATTTACTATAAATCACCATAGTATTTTAATGTGGGATACAGTTTATATTCTGTTATAATCATTCTATTAAAAGTTGCTCATTTTGAGATCAAATAACATTGCTTAGCATTTAATGGTGAAAACAGTCAAATAAATAATTATCTGTAACATCTTCATGTGAATTTTGATCTTTTTAATTCATCCTTGCTGCACTCAATTATTCCAAAATCTTTCTGACCTCAAAGCGTGTACTTACAACTTCCCTCCCATACCAATGCAAGTACTACATTTCTAAACTACTAAAACCATAGTCAGAAACGTTGCTTCTATACATTCTTAGCATGATCTGAAACATCTGCTGACGCCTCTGAAAGGCACATCCCTCTTCCTAATGTTTGTTATTGTTCCTGTCGACTGTTCCGTATGGGACGCAGGAACTCCAGAGGAGGGAAGTGATTGACTGGTTGAGTCGCCCTCTCAGCTTATCATCAACGGAGGCTTTGATTTCACCCCACCGGCCTGTGCAAAACATGGCCACCATTAGCTCTTGTGTTAAAACACTGGAGTCTTTGACACAGAAGAGCAATCAACTCAACACAATGTAGATGTGTGGGAAAACCATGGGGGTTCACACACTCAAAAAAATCTAACTACTTAGTACTTATTTAGCTGAAACAACACAATTCTAGAGCTTTTTGGGAGCAACTTAAATATTTTCTGTTCAATCCACTTAACTGCTAACTTATTTGCTTTAAGTTGTCCCAACACAAATCTATTGTGTGGAAACCAGCATTTTATACAGTGCACATACAACATTATCTCTCGGTAGCAAGTTTCTACTGAGGAACAGTATACCATTGTAAAGGGAAGGTAAAAGATAATTTTATAGACGCATACTCATTAGACTCTTAAAAGCAAGAGTACAAAAGCTGTCAATGGAACTATACCCTATCAAAAGGTGAACTTTTGTATGTAAAGGGAACATATTAATCCCTAAAGTGTCTAGGTGATAACTTAAAAAAAAGATATCAGTACCTAAATACTCAATATTGTAGCTAAAAACTACAAAAATGTACCTTTTGAAAGGGTACTGCCGCAGTGATTGCTTTTTTCGGAGAGTGTACTATCTTAAAAGTAGATATCAGTACCAAAAGATTCCATACTATTGTTAAACAGTACAAAGAAGTATCATTCGAAGGGTGCCGTCCAGTGACCACTTTATTTCTGAGAGTGTTCCATCTTAAAAGTATATATTAGTACCTAAAGGCTCCTTATTGTTGTTAAAGAGTACAAAGATGTACCATTCGAAGGGTACCGTCCAGTGACCGCTTTATTTCTGAGAATGTTCCATCTTAAAAGTAGATATTAGTACCTAAAGGCTCTATATTGTAGCTAAAAAGTACAAAGATGTTCTTTTTGAAAGGGCACCACCCCAGTGACCGCTTTATTTCTTACAGTGGACCATCTTAAAAATAGATATTAGTACTTAAAGACTCCAAATTGTAGCTAAAAAGTACAAAGATGTACCTTTTGAAAGGATACCGCCCCAAATGACCGCTTTATTTCGGAGAGTGTACCATCTTAAAAGTAGATATTAGTACCTAAAGACTCCACACTCTCAGAAAAATAAAGTACACTGTGGTACTAATAATGTTCCATAAGAAACACTTTTGTATCTTTGAAACAGTTGTACCTTATATGATACAAAAGAGACTTATTATGATACTGTTCTGTACCTTTTATGGTACAGTTGAAATGAAGGTACACAGTTGCTCTCATAAAAAAGGTACATAAGTGTTTGTCGACTTCTTCTTTATTGCAATATCTATGAAAATAAATATTACTGGAAAGGCAAAGGTATTTCATGAATAATTTCAATATTAAATTTAAATGTTTTAAATTTTAAATTTAATGAAACTCAAACATTAATTATTAAATTCTATAAAACAAAACAACTGGTAAAACAAAAAAACTATTGGTATTGTAAACTAAACTAAAGGCATATTTAATAAACATTTGGTAAGCATTTTCTGATGAATACATATTCATTATTGATATCCGCATCGTTCAGCGTTTGCTTGCCACTACGCACGTGAGCTGGCAAAAGTCCTGCAAAGTGTTCATGCAGACATTTTACTATTGTAAAACTAATTAAACATTGTGCATATCTTGTCACAGTACTTTTGCATAATTTTATTTCTATTTTAAAATTAAGTAAATTAAATGAACTTTGAATGTTTACAAAGGTAATCTGTGAAAACTGGAGAAAAAAAATGTTTTATTGTACATGGGTGAGTGTATTTCTGTAACATTTTTGTGAAAAGTGTTGTAAAATGTTTAGCAAAAACTAGACCTTTTGATTTATGTTAAAGTATTTTTATTCTTTATTGTAAATGGAATTTACAGAAGAAAAAAAGTGCTTTTACACAAAATGAAACTTGTGTAAACTGAAACATTGTTTAATAAATGTATTTGAAGTTTTATGTTTACTGAAAATAAATTGAGGAATTTTGGATAAAGCAAAGGTTAATTTAAAAGTGTTTTGTCACTGTAGTGGTACCTTCATAGATCAGATTTGTAATTTTGATAAAAGTACAATATTGTATCTGCAGGTTTTAAAAACATAGGTACATTTTGGTTTCCCTTGGTACAAATAATGTCCTTAAAGGTAGAAACTGCAATGGTAGAAACTTGTTTCTTTGTCTTAAGTTACAATTCTGTTCCATAAAAAGGAACTTCTTCCCAGAGATGGGTTGTGGCTGGAAGGGCATCCACTGCGTAAAAACATGCTGCATAATTTGGCGGTTCATTCCGCTGTGGCGATCCTTGATCAATAAAGAAAAGAGAATGAATGAATGAATGAATGAATGAATAAATGAATGAATGAATGAATGAATGAATGAATGAATGAATGAATGAATGAATGAGGTAATCCCTCGGTGACAAAGGTCTGTACCATTTTTTTCTGAAAGTGTAAGTTAATTAGGCAAGTTAGGGTGATTAGGTAAATCGTTGTAATAGTTTGATTCGTAGAAAATCTAAAAAAATTATTGCTTATTGCTTAAGGGGCCTAATGACATTGACCTTAAAATGGTTTTAAAAAATTAAAGCCAAAATAAAACAAATAAAACTTTTCCCCAGAAGAAAAAAAATTGTAGGAAATACTGTGAAAAATTCTTTCCTCTCCTCGACATCATTTGGGAAATATGAAAAAAAAAAAGTATTTATCACAGGAGGGCTAACAATTATGACTTCAATTGTATCTACAAAAAAACTGTTAAAAGTCTGACTGTACCAACTGCACAGATATGTTCAAAGAAACAAGCTTACGCTGCACCTAAATGTGCACAGTCATCTCAACCCAATACGTCCTCCTCACACACCAACACACACATGCTCTTTCTTCCCAGACTTTACAGAAGGGCCACACTGCACCTGAAGGCTTTCCTCCATTCTGCTTCCAAAGCAAATACTGTTACTGGCCAAGGAGTCCAGAGAGCTCCGTCACACAGTTAGACTTCCATTTGTAAAATACACCCATAAATGTCATTCAGCACAACCCCTCGGCCACTGAGGCCAGTAGCGCACGCTACATTAAACAGCAATAGGCTCATATCACATTCTTTCTTCTCTTTAGTATTTAACTTGCTACTGCTTTGGGAATAAAAAATGCAGAGTTATTAATGTGTGGTGGTTATAAAACTAAATAAAAGCTAGAAATTGTAAGAAATAGGTATGTTAGTGTAAAGCTGGCTTGTATAAGAGGTGTTAAACTCAGTTTTGTAGTGAATTCCTGAACAAATCATTTAAAAATGAAAGGAATTAGATTTTTCAGCTGTTAAAGTCGGCGTGAAAGTTGCTAAGACTTTTCTTTTAGTATGCTGATGTACTTCCAACTGAAACTGAATATTGAGTAAGAGGCGGGGCTTTCCTATCGCATGTCATTTCCTTGTAGCAAACTAATGGTAAGAGGGGCGTGGCTAAGAATATTGTGGCTGAAGCTGTTAAACTGACATAAACAGAGAAGCACCACCACTCCAAACACAGAAACAAATGTTCAGACTTTGATTGAAGATTACCAAAACAAACATTTAATTTAACTCGCACAGATTGATTGTTCACCTAAAGCACAGGTGTCAAACTCAGTTCCAAAAGGGCCGCAGCTCTGCACAGTTTAGTTCAAACCCTAATTAAACACACCTGATCAAACTAATTGAGTCCTTCAGGCTTGTTTGAAACCTACAGGTAAGTGTGTTGGAGCTAAATTGTGCAGGGCTTCGGCCCTCCAGGAATTGAGTTTGACACCCCTGACCTAAAGAATAACAATGTGAGCTAGCAAAACAAACAATGTAAATTTTGACTTTACAAGGACTTTAAACTTAAGTAAACATACCTGAAGGTCAAAGAATTTACTGTATCTTCTGTAGATGATGTGGGATGTGGAGTCAGAATATGTCACATTGATGAGATACACCTGAAAAGGGAAAAAGGAAGATTATTAGATTTGTTTAGATAAGCAAGTGCTTAATGAGAATGACAACAACTATAAAGTTTTCCTAATCATCTATACGTATAGAGAAGTCCACACTAGGCATGGGATGATAACCGTTTTCAAGGTATACCGCTGTTTGGAAAAGTCAAGATTTACAACCGCCAACATTTTCTGTAATACCGTTACTAAGGTATGTGTAAGATTTTTTTATTTACTCTTTTTGTTGTTGTTGTTTTTTAAGAAATGAGTATCTTCATCAGAAAATATATCTAAAGATGCTATTTTAAATTGTAAAAGAAATCTGTGTAAATCTAAAGACAGCAGAAGTCTATGATTCATTTTCATTATTTTAGCCTGACATGTTTACTGCTCCAAAACATTATGAATCTTTCAAAAAATAAAATATATTGTTTTCAAAGGGGAAAAAGTTTTAATTGTTTACCCAGACATTTAAAAAATATATGTATTTTAGAGAAGTAATCACAATACCGTGATACTGTGATATTTTTATCCAAGGTTATCATAGTCAGACTCAGAATCTTATACCGGCCTATGCCTAGTCCACACCACTGCACGGAAAAAAACATATCACTGGAACCCCTTACAAATCGTGTTTTTACTTAGTGAATGATAAAAACATTTTGTGATATATATATGTATATATATATATATATATATATATATATATATATATATATATATATATATATATATATATATATATATATATATATTTATATATATATATAGTATCGTCCGATTCCAATCGAGTCTGAAACTGCATGATCAGGCACGATTTCTGATCATGTGATCGGATCTAAAAATCTCTAATTTACATGATATATTTGCTCATTCTGAATAACTCTAAAAAACACTACTGTCAATCATACCTTTCATTAGTTATTTGACATTAATTAAAAACCCACTTATGCAAAGTAGTCCTACTTCTGTTGTAAAATGTCAACGAAACAGCATTGCACACATTTCTGGACTGCCTAGATAAATATTTATCAAAAAATAAACATGATCTTTTGCATTTGGACAGCAATAATAATACAGCTATAATAAAATGTAAATTCATGAGCAAAGGCATCAAGTGATTCCACCGCTGAAACCATTGCCTGTTATAAAGCTGAAATAAGTTGTATTGCTATGGCAGTTGACCTAAAATTAAATTGATTTAGGTGGTTATAGGTTTAAAAAAAACAAAAAAAAACATTATTTTTCAAAATACAATTTTAAATCAAAATATGAAAAAGTTAAATTAATCCTAATAATTATATGGATTATAAATATATTTTATAATAATTTTATTTCAGTAATTTTTTGTGATCTTCCAACCTCTCATGCCTTGTTTAAAACATATCAAACACAAGTCGTTACGCCAAGAAAGTAGGGTAAAACTTAAAAGTAATGCCATCACAGCATTGAGTAGTCAGGAAACAGCAGTGTATTCAGTATTTCCTGCAAAATTCCTAGCAAATGCAGTGCTATTGTCCTGCATGTGAAATGAAGATCAGAAGTTTAGTTCCTCCACAAGGCCACCGACAGACAATATGACTTCATGTGGAAGAGAGAGCCTCCTGTTCACAGGCATTTCCCACTGGATGGGACAATTGCAGGGTGTCTCTGCCCCCTACGCCATTCAGAGCGGTTTCCTCTCTCCTCTAAATACAGTACATATGCTTGATCCGTCTTTCATGACACTGCTATGTTCATTTATATCATACATCATACCTATATTTTTCATTCAATTCACTAATGTGTCAATTGGCATTCAATAAAATTATATATTAAAAAAGCTATTTACATCAAAGGAAAGACACAAGATTTGGAGAATGAAGAAGTGCATTGGACATCTAGAAGATCACAACAACAGAACTGTTTACCTTGAAATGTGTTTTCATCATTCAGGTAATTGGACTTTTAATACATGCATAAATTGGGTCTAAAATGTTTTAGACATCCACTTTCAACCACTTTCAGAGGTAGTTGAAAGTCCATTTGATTAGACTGCTTTTAGTATCATGTGGCTGAATGCATTGGAAGAGCCGCAAAAGACTACACAGTGTTGGCAAAGATTCTTTATCAATGTAACTGATTATTTTCTTATTACTTTTTTTAATTTCTTATGAATGTTTTGGCAAGGTGGCTCAGTGGTTAGCACTGTCACCTCACAGCAAGAAGGTCGCTGCTTCGAGTCCCGGCTGGGCCAGTTGGCATTTCTGTGTGAAGTTTGCATGTTCTCCTCGTGTTCGCATGGGCTTCCTACGGGTGCTCCAGTTTCCCACACAGTCCAAAGACATGCGCTATAAAGTGAACTAGGTGAACTAAATTTGCCGTAGTGTATGAGTGTGTGTGGAAATGTGAGAGTGTATGGGTACTGGGTTGTGGCTGTGTAAAACATATGCCGGGACTATTAAGGACTAAGCCGAAGGACAATGAATGAATTTTACCTGTTAAAGTTTTTTTCCTAAAAACTGCTAAAAAAAAAAGTCAAATTAAAACCAAAACTATAACAATGAAATCATGTTTAAATTATTGACTACATAAAATAAATAAAACTAAAATGACCATTTGCCAAAATAAAAATATCATTTGGTGATGCTAAAGTATTACAGAAATTGCACATTTTGAATTATATTTACATTTAATTGTTTATCAGACACTTTTATCCAAAGCGACTTACAATTGAGGAGGCATTCGGCAATTCAACAAGAAGAGGCATAGGCCATTTTGAGGGATGTAAACAATAACAATGGTCCCAACGTATTTCCTGTTTTTTATTTTTCATTTCCATAGCTCCCGAGAATCCGAAAAGAGCCACATATTGATAAATGACATTAGGACGGCTGTTTTAACATTGAGATATGATTGAATTGCCTCTTGTTACAGTTATTAATAGTTTGACAACAAGCAGGAAATGTTTTGTGGACCAATTACATCACCGCATTGAAACGGTCTAAACCAGGGGTGTCAAACGTATGGCCCGTGGCCGGAAACTAATTAAATCTGGCCCGCGAGATGATTCTGAAAAAAGCTGCAATTGTTCAATAAAAGAAACTGTTGTTCCAATTGTGTCCACTGGATGGCGCAACTGCAAAGTGTTAATTTCATCCAATCCAGAAGCCTGAATCAGCATCAGTTTGACAGCCTTCTCAGACAGAAAGAGCACATCTATGCCCTGCCATACCACACTGAGATGTTCTCACGAGGAAAGTGGCTAATTTGTAGTTCAGTCGTAACCGTCATTGGTGGATTAGCAAAGCTTACTAAATTTCACGAATGAGATCGTACCATTTTATATGAATTAGCTACTAATTAAAAAGTTACGAATTGCCGAGAGATCGTGTTGTCCTTAGGCTCCAGCTTTATGTTTTATATTGATCGTATTAAAACAAAGAAAACAATCTGAAGTTGTTGATTTTAGGTTATATATGCCATGATATACCAGCCCACTTTGGAATAGATTTTCCTCCATGTGGCCCCTGAGCTAAAATCAGTTTGAAACCCCTGTTCTAAACAAAGAAATGTTGGCTACTCTGTAAGTAAGCATTACTGAGTACGTTTACATGGACACCGATAATGCAATTTAGACAATAATGCAATTAGGACAATACTCTGATTATGAGTCTACCATATAAACAGCGATTTTTGAATACCTTAATCTGACTAAAGTCATAAATGAACTAAACAGAAATCGAATTAAGAAGTGGAGTATGCCAATTTTTGTCGAATTGTTGAAGTGCAGTACAGATGCAAACAGGCCCGGATTGGCCAATCGGGAGGACCGGGAGAGTTCCCGGTGGGCCGGTCCGTTTTTTGGCCGCGAGGAACTACTGATAAAAGTCAACGTCCGCCATTCTTCAATTCTCAAACTGCTCTCCCGACAAAAATGCTTGCAGCACACACACAGCTTTGCTGTATGATCGGCCCTGACAGGATCGCGGGGAAAAAAACATGCAACAAACCACGTGGATCAGGGAAACAAATACATGCGAGCCTTCATGAACGGCTACTGCGTGCCGTTGGTCTGTCTCAAAGCTTGCTTGAAACTGGCAGGTCTGCCTTCGGAAAGCACGTGCTCTCATGAATAATTAAGCAGCCGGCTCTTCTCATAGGATAAGAAAACTCCGCTATGAATAATAATGAGAAACCAACGCGTCATCATTGCACTTGCAGTCAGTGAAGAACCTCAGATATTAAAATTCCATTGAAACACCAGTCCTTACTTCATACTTGCATGCAATATGTGTTTGTCACAGGGGGCATTAAAGAAATGTTCTTGAATGAAAGTGAAACTGCCGGACAGCAGATCAAGACGAAAAGCTACCGAAATCACTTGAAACTCCAGAGGAGACGTGGATAGCATGATGACGCAATGACATTAATCGAATTATGTGCTATAACAGGAAAACGGGATCATGAAATGAACACTCAAAAAGCAGCTCATGTAAACACCTTAATCATATTATTGTCTTATTAAGATTAAGGTAAATAATTTGATTACTGATGTCCACATAAACATAGTCAATGATTTAAACTTAATACGATCCTCGACCAGCAATTAATGCAGAGAGGTGTTACAGAGATGTTACATATTAAAATGATCCCACTTGGAAACCTTTCTAAAGCAAATTAAAAAACGTTTCACATCTAGCAGTTTCCAGCGCTAAAACACTCCAAAGCTGTGCTGTGCAGATTGAATAACTGAAAACTGCATACCATTTTAACTCCTTTTACTCTAAGATACATCTGATTTATATGCAGTACATTTCCCTTGCAGTGTAGATCTAATATCACAGGTTCATGTCAGCATAATATTTCAACCACAGCTCTCTAGCATGAAGCTTTAGAATAAATTACCCCACCGATTGTGGTCTGCAGGACAGTGTGTTGACATCTTTTCTCCAGGGTCTAAACTCAGTAACGTCAGGCTCGTTCAAGGTCTCCTCCGCTGTGAGCAGCATGTCTAAGCTGAT